TTTAAGCAATTATAAAAAAATATAAAAAAATATATTCTAGCGGGCATATTTGGCCGCTGGACGGTTTAAGGGATAGTACAAGTAAAAGCTACAGCAACTACAAAATAAAATTAGATGTATTAAGCTTTTGGTTAAGATATTATTCATGCTATAATAAACACATTGCCTATATAAAAATTGTTTTTCTTTAAATAAAAATTAACAAGATTTATTAAAGAAAAAAATAATTAAAAAAATAAAACTATTTACTTTAGATATTTAAAACTCACAGTTATTCTTTACTATATATATTAAATATATATATAGTAGTTAGACCTCATTATAGTTACTTTTGATATAATTACAATCTTGTTATAGTCACACTATTTTTTAATTCTAGATACGTATTATACAGTAAAATATATAAAATTTGACCTTTATAGTTATATTTTTTACAATCACCAAATATTTGTTTCTCAACCTGGTAATTATATCGAGGTCTAACTGTATAAAAATTAATAAAATAACAATCACTATCCTGATTACCATGATTGACTGAATACACATCACGTGTTAAGCAAAATTTGTTGAAGAATCTAGTTTGACTTAGTTGAATTTTTTAGAGAATTATAGTATTTTTTTAACACTGCTTACAACACACTGTATTTATAGCAGATTCGTATATTGTATTAAAACGTTTAACACAAAACTCTTTATATACGTGAATGATCTAATTTATCAGATTTTAATAATATTAATAAAAATAACTGAATCTTTTACCAAGAGGTTAATTTTTATTTTATATATTTTAAATAAAGTATGCTATGTATATTCATTCTTTCTGTCTTTAAACAATCATACTATTACAGTACATATATATCGATATATAATCACAAATAGATATATTAATTTCTATATTATGTATAATGAGACAATAGTTATTGTGTTTTAAAACATGGTAACTTTAGGATTTATATTTATATAATTCTTAGTATTATTTCCTTGTGACTAGACATGTTGAGTTTGGTTCATACAATATATAACTTCAATATGCAATAGGAAATCATTTTGTTTAAAGATGTTCTACAAATTTTTGACCAATGATTAAGTACCAAATATCGATCTTAAATTATTTTTGTTCGCTTTGTCTGGTTATGCCAAATATAACAAAGATGCCCCATAAGTTTCTTGGACAAATTGAACCAATCATCATCTAAACTAGGTATGAGTGTAATTTAATATTCATTATATATATATATAAATGTTTAAAAGATATTAATCTAATTAGTATTCGCGAAAATTCTATTTTAGTTTGCCGTTGATTATTACGATTTTACCATACTCTCCTTTGACTGAAGGTTCTCTCGTACTTAAAACGACTAAATTTACAGAACATTTTATCAATGATGCAAAAACTTTGGCAACCTTCACACAAACAACAATATGGTAAAGAGAGTTCTGCGGTAGGAACTGATGGAAACAATGGAAATTACAGTCCTTCTACTCCTACCAGTCCTACACCCATTCCAGCAACTGGTCTTCTTGTCATCCGTGTTGTTGAAGCAAGAGGACTCACTTTACCCCCAGGCATAAGACCTCCACAAATTCCTCCACACTTTGTACCATCAGCTCCAACGTCTACGCGGGGTAACAGAGATAGCATGCAGAGAAAACAATGCTGGTGGCTTCCTTATGTAGTTCTAGAATTTGATAAAAATGAAGTACTGATCGATGCCCTAGGTGGTGAAGTGCAAAATCCTATCTGGCAATACAAAGCGCATTTGTGAATATTTAAAGTGACATAAGGATTTCATTAAATTATTTTTGATCTCCAGACCATTAAAATTTTTTGATTCATATTACCATAGTGATGTTTCGCGAGAATCCGACGTATCAATACAAATATATCTCCGAAAATCCACCCAAACCGGCCAACACACTAATGACATGGGCAACGATGTGTTTTTGGGTGGTGTAAAGATTATACCAAGCTTTAATGAACCAAATGTGAGTAACTTGGCAGAATTCAAGATTCGTTTCTTCTAATTTATTATGTATGTAATAATTCTTTCAACGGATTATTAAAGAAATTGCACGAACAATGGTACAAATTGCAAGGTGGTTCAGGCGATGTTTATGTACACGTCTGTTATAAAAAGGATCATGTATGTAGATCACATTTTCTCTGAAAGCTTAAGTTTTATTATAATTATTAATTTATGACGAGAAATACATTCTGCATATTTAGACAAATGTGCCCTTGACAATTGACGCATTCGATTTATTGAAAGTCATCGGTAAGGGCAGTTTCGGCAAGGTATTTAATTAATTCTTTGATTGGGTGTTATTTTACTAACATTGATTTTAATCTAATTCGAAGAAATTATATCTCGAGATAACGTCTTAGAAAAATATGGGTTGGTTCGCTATTTATATTATTAATTAAACATCTTCATATGTAACCTGTTAGGTCATGCAAGTCCGAAAACGAGATACTTCTCGGATCTACGCGTTAAAAACCATACGCAAAGCCCATATCGTATCTCGATCTGAGGTGAATCATACTCTTGCGGAGCGTACGGTTTTGGCGCAAATAAACAACCCCTTCATTGTACCTTTGAAATTCTCTTTTCAAAGTACAGAGAAATTGTATTTGGTGTTGGCTTTTGTGAATGGTGGTGAATTATTCCATCACTTGCAACGAGAAGGCCGGTTTGACGAAGAGAGGTCTAGATTTTATGCCGCAGAATTGCTTTGCGCATTGGAATGCTTACATGACTTCAACGTGGTTTATCGGTTAGTACCAAGTAACGGAATTGTATAATCTAGTGAAAATAGCCGCATTTGAATAAAAGTGTCAATTTTTTCACACTTAGTAATCACAGAACTGATCTATCTACATTAAATCTTACCCTTAATATTCCTTGATACATTTTTCGGACAATATAAGGGATCTAAAACCCGAAAACATTCTTTTAGATTATTCAGGCCATATTGCTCTATGCGATTTTGGTCTTTGTAAACTGAACATGACAGAATCTGAAACTACAAATACCTTTTGCGGGACACCCGAGTATCTCTCTCCAGAACTTTTGTTGGGCCAGGGTTATACCAAAACAATAGATTGGTGGACTTTGGGAGTTTTATTGTTTGAGATGTTAACGGGTCTACCACCTTTTTATGATGAGAATACCAATGAAATGTATCGAAAGATTCTACAGGATGAATTAAGATTTCCTGATGAAGTTAGCAGCGAGGCTCGAAGTTTATTGACGGGGGTGTGTAGTCGAGACTAAATGCAATTCATTGCGTAAACATTATGTTGTGATTCATATTAAAAAAACTAATAGCTATATGTTTGCTTATAGCTATTGACCAGAGATCCTAACCACCGCCTTGGTAATAATGGTGCCCAAGAAATTAAAGAACATCAATTCTTTTCTGCTATAGATTGGAAACAATTGATTCTAAAAAAAGTTCAACCACCTTTCAAGCCCAGTGTTGTATGTAGCGTGATTTCATACATTCTCCACGTAGTTTTATTAGTCACTTGATTGAATCGGCTCACCTTATTCCAGGAATCGGCTATTGATACTTCGAATTTTGATGAAGAATTCACTTCAGAGACTCCTCAAGACTCGGTAGTCAACGATTCACATCTTTCTGAGACCATACAACGGCAATTCGACGGGTTTACATTCAATCCCCATGAAGGAGTAATGAGCGGAAGTATGGCAAACTCGGTGGAATAATGCTTGGATCCGTGGATATCAGACTGGTTTTACCCATTCCACTGGATCGTTATATCTGGTTAAAATTATAAATTATCCAGTGAAATCCGATGAAATCCGGTGAATCTATCGAAATAAGTTTTTTGCTGAAAATAAATAAAAAAAAATTTATTTTATTTTTATTATTTTTTTTTGCTAAAACATTAAAATATTTAAATAAATTGCTAATTCGAAGTACTTGTCATAAATTACATAACTTTGAATATTGTGTATGAAATTAGTGCATAATTATGCAGAGTTAAATAGCTTAGTAATTTGTTCAAATAAGTTATACAGGTACTTAAAATAGTTTGAGAAATATAAGATTGAATAGTATAATAATTAAATGATTTTTTTAAATCAAAAACAATTATATAAAAAATAAAATTATATAATTATTTTACAAAAACTATATGCAATATATCCTGTTCTTTTTGTAAGTTGGTTAAATACTGTATATAAAATTATTGGTTAAATACTGCATATAAGATTTATAGTATTGCAATTTATAGTAATTTACTGCGTATTTTTTATAAATATAGTTTACAGAATTAGGATTAAAGATTGGCAGATTTGTAATACAGTCGTTCTCAATCACACAGTAAATTTTTTTCAAAATATGCTTATGGGGATTGTGTTTATATGAAGGTCTTTTTCTTATAAATTAAATCATAGTTTGGCCTAAACATAAATGTAATTATATATGGTATAATTATATGGAAGGTACTAGTTACTACAATAGAAATAGTGATTTATTACTATAGTATATATTATTTAATACAGTATATACAGTATATTTTTTTTATACTGTAATTGGCAATCTTGTCTCTAATTAAGCTATTCTAGAGTTATACATTTCTATATATTTCTATCTATAGCTATTGCTAATCTAACCAAACAAAAGACTTACCCACGGCTTTTGCCCAAGTGCAACCTGCCTCAGTAGCTCTTGGCCTTCCTCCAAATTCTTAACTTATTAAGGATTTATTTCTTTTTGGTTATCAGCTGATAACTACTCACCTTGTTAGTATTGCTATTTATATTGGATTTACCTTGTATTTAACCCATAAAGACCAGTCTGGTTTCTTACTATTCTATATCAGATTTTTATATTTTTCAGTGCAGTTATATTTGTATATTCTTTCTTCTTATTTTTTTGGTCTTCTTTTTGGTCTTGGTTTTTCTAGTTCTTTT